AGTACCAGTGTTTACATTCCTGCAGTTCTGGAAGACTATGTGCGACGAGAAGGTGCAGGGTGGCTATGGAAAGTACCAGGGCACCTGGATACCGCTCGAGGAGGGGCGACATCTGGCAGAGCGCAACGGCGTGCTGGACAAGATGCGCGCCATATTCGACTACATACCCGGCGACAGGAGTCCCCCGCCTGCGCCCAAGCATGCGACTGCGGCCTCGAATAGGATGAAACCGCCCAGACAGAGCGCAGCAGCTGCGGCGAGAAAGGCCGCGACTGCATACTCGCTGGACACTATGCAGTCTTTCGTTACCAACCCGACGCAGTCACAGGTTAGCGAGGAACAGTATGAGCCCTCTCAAATACGATCGCAAATCTACCGCGACGAGACGCCCGACAATGAGACGGTCGTGTCAGAGTCCATGCTCGGCGACCATGACCTGATGGACTCGCAGTACTCGGTCGGCAGCCGCAAGCGCAAGAGGGGGATTGACCAAATGTCGCTACTGGATCAGCAACATCAGATATGGGCGGATCAACTGCTTGATTACTTTATGCTCCTGGACCACGAAGCTGCCGTCTCCTGGCCAGAACCCCCCGCCAGCATCAACCTGGACCGGCCCATTGACGAAAAAGGCCATGCAGCTATGCACTGGGCAGCAGCCATGGGTGACGTGGGCGTAGTCAGAGAGCTGATCAATCGAGGGGCGCGCATAGACTGCCTGTCGAATAACCTGGAGACTCCCTTGATGCGCGCCGTCATGTTCACCAACAACTTCGACAAGGAGACGATGCCAAGCATGGTCAAGATCTTCCAGCAAACCGTGCACAGAACGGACTGGTTTGGTAGCACCGTCTTCCATCACATTGCAGCCACGACGAGTAGTTCGAATAAGTACGTATGCGCACGGTGGTACCTTGACTGCATCATCAACAAGCTCTCCGAGACGTGGATCCCAGAGGAAGTCACACGGCTACTCAATGCGCAAGATCAGAACGGAGACACGGCCATTATGATTGCTGCGAGAAATGGAGCGAGGAAGTGCGTACGGAGTCTGCTTGGGCGCAACGTTGTGGTTGACATACCGAACAAGAAAGGAGAGACGGCCGACGACCTGATCCGGGAGCTCAATCAACGACGAAGAATGCATGGCCGAACACGGCAAGCTTCCTCATCGCCCTTTGCACCACCTCCCGAGCATCGTCTGAATGGTCATGGTGTACAGTTGGATGGCGGACCATTGATGCCAGTTCCCTTTGCGAGCATGAATGCCCGCGAACCAGCGCAATATCGATCGCAGACGGCATCCCATCTCATGACCAAGGTGGCGCCGACTTTGCTTGAGAAGTGTGAGGAGCTGGCCGCAGCGTACGAATCGGAGTTGCAAGAAAAGGAGATGGAGGCTTGCGACGCTGAGCGGGTAGTCAAGAGGCGACAAGCAGAATTGGAGGCAGTGCGCAAGCAAGTGGCAGAGCTCCAAGGGATGAGCAACGGATTGCATATTGACCTGAACGACGATGAGGCAGATCGACAGCAGGAGGAAGAATTGCGGCTACTGGTTGAAGACGCCGAGTCGCTGCTCGAGATTGAGCAGAAGGCGGAGCTGAGGCGACTTTGCAGTAGTCTACCGCAGCCCAACAAGACGAACTCGCCCGTGGACATTAATGAGAAGATGCGGTTAGCACTCCTCGTCCATCGAGCACAGCTGGAGAGGCGAGAGCTGGTGCGCGAGGTCGTGGGCAATCTGTCGGTGGCTGGCATGAGCGAGAAGCAGGGAACGTACAAGAAGCTGATTGCAAAGGCGCTTGGTGAGCGCGAAGAAAATGTCGAGTCGATGCTGCCTGAAATTTTACAGGAGTTGGAAGAGGCAGAAACTCAGGAGCGAGCAGAGGTTCTAGACGGCAGTCCCCTCTGAGCTTCCAGAGTCGTGCATTTCTTCCTTGAGGTCCTTCTTTTTTTCGTTTTCTTTTACCACTTTCTTCCCAAGCGATTCCCTTGTCTCCCGGGCATTGTACAGTCTGGATCTTGCTCCATCTCTGTCGCTCTCTCTCTCTCTCTCTCTCTCTCGCTCTCCCTATCGTAGGAGCTTGTCTCCCACCTGCTTTATGATAGCAGCAGGTGCGGATAGGAGTCACTTATTTACGGCCAGATATCAATCATCTATTCATGTATGCTCCTCGAATGTCTCGTGCTCATGCACACAATATATCCAAGCATAGCAATGAAACAGGTCTGCTTCGCATACTTGGTATAGACAGTACCTTACGAGTCATTTGTACAGGGCCGCATGGCTCGTCGTCGGTCATCTGAAGTAGTTGTGCATATCTTGCCTACCGGTACCCCACGCCCAGGTCGCCAGGTCGCAGGGCTAGAGAAGTGACTTGATCACACACACACACACACCTCAGACACCCGTGCATCCTGCACCGCCAACGCCAAGCGCCAACATATCTAACACATGCAAGTCCATTCATTTCATTGCCTCTGTCCGTGTTGGCGGTTTGAGAGTGGAAAAGGATGACGGTTTTCACGCTTCAGTCGGCAACAGGACGCGCAAGACGGAGGTTTGCTGGACGCCCATTGGACCTGCGGAGGTTCCACAGTGGGCCGTTCAAGGGCAGCACAGGGGGGTCGAGGGACGGCGATGAGCGACAAGCTTGACAAAGTTGAGGAACTTTGTTGTGAAGGAAAGTTCAGAGTCTATTTGCTGCATCACAGCGTCGTCCGTCACTATCAACGTTCCGGCCCCGAAGACAGTTTGCCAGAAAAGGACCGTCAGGCGTCATCAGGCCCAATCTCCCCCCCGCCGAGCTCGTCTCCACTCTGTCCTGTGCACTGCCTAGTACCGGTAGGTATCAGTACGGTACGCGCCATCTGTCATCTGCTGCGCCCGTCTGCAACCGCCTTATATGCCTGAGTCTATTCCCCTGCGCAACAAGGGAACCTCTGGTCCACGTCCTCGCACCCTTGCCCACACCCTTTCCGACGACTTCACCCTCCAGGCCAGGAACAGCACGCCGCCCATTGTTGTACCGGTATCGGGCCCGAGTTCGACACAGCTTTCGTCCAAGCAGCCAGACAGCTCGGCCTATTCCCATTCACGTTCCCATTCCGATTTCGACAACAGCGACCAAGACGACGAGTTCGACGACTGGGATGACCACGACGCCGCTGCTGCCATGCCGTCTGACCTGAGACCCTCGCAGGAGCGGGAGCGGGAGCGCGATGGGCGTGCCAATGCGCCGCTGCTCGGCCGCCACAAAGACGAGGACGAGGGCGCAGAGGTGGCAGACTTGGGCTTGGGCATGAGCAGGACCAGCCATCACTTCCACGAGCGAGATCCCAAGGCTCAGGCGAAATTTGAGACGCGGCGACGCTACACGTATGCCGCCTTCCTCCTCGCCCTGAGCCTCGTCAGCTTCACGGTGCAGACGGAAACGGCCGTCTACATCCAACACCAGCTGAAGTGGGAGAAGCCGTACTGCATGCTGTACATGACACACGGCTCCTGGGTCCTCCTTTGGCCTGCCATGCTGTGTCTCCTGCGCCTGCAACACTGGTCCACTCCCTGGCCCACCTTCTGGCGCCGTCACGTACAGCTCTTGCGCCAGACAGCCCTCATGGTCCAGCACCAGACGCTCCACCCCACGCCTCGCCAGTCGATCGCCTCTCCCGTGCCCTACATGCTCAAAATGACGGCCTTCATCACCTGCGCCCTCACTCTTGCCGGCGGCAGCTGGTACGTCGCAGTCAACCAAACGACCGCCTCGGATCTCACTGCAATCTACAACTGCAGCGCCTTCTTCGCCTACGCCTTCAGCATCCCGATTCTGCACGAAAAGGTCCGCGCGGGCAAGGTCATTGCAGTCGCCATTGCCATTACAGGCGTCTTCGTGGTCGCATACGGCGACACCTCTCCCGCAAAACACGGCTCCAAATCGGGCGGCGGTGCTGGCGGCGACAAGGCCCCTCCCTCGCACGAAGCCGAGAACCGGGCATTTGGCAACATGGTCATTGGTGTTGGTTCCGTCCTGTATGGCCTGTACGAGGTTCTCTACAAGAAACTGGCGTGTCCGCCCGAGGGCGCCTCGCCAGACAAGGGTGTTGTGTTTGCAAATACGTTTGGGAGTTTGATTGGTGCCTTTACCCTCTGTGTGCTATGGATTCCTTTGCCCGTTCTTCACTACCTCGGATGGGAGATTTTCCAACTGCCTAGGGGGGAGCAGGCGTGGATGATGGCCATTAGTGTTTTGGCGAATGCGAGTATGTTGTGCCTTGTTCTCGAAACATGATCCCTCTCTCCTCTCCTCAACTACGTACTAAAAGAAAAGAATGTGGAAAACTGACAAGTACAAAAATAGCCTTCTCAGGAGCCTTCCTCGCCCTCATTTCCCTCACCTCTCCCGTCTTATCCTCGGTCGCAGCACTTCTTACCATCTTCATCGTCGCCATTGTCGATCAGCTGCTCCCGCCTCCCCTCAACTCCCCTCTCACGCCCGCGGCGATTGTAGGTGGCCTCTTGATCATCGGCGCCTTCATGCTGCTCAGTTATGCAACGTACAAGGAGATGGATGAAGAGAGGCGGCACAAGCTGGAAGAGAGCCCCAGTGAATTAGATGACTAGACGTCTTCTTTGTTTGGATCTAGGGTTAGACTTGGAACGGGAGGCAGCGTCCTTGACTACGTTTTGTAATGTTTTTGTGTGTGGTTTTTATAGGATTGGCTCTTGTCTCTTCGGCAAAGGCTGGGCTTATTGGGGGCGTTGTTGTGTTGTGCTGGCTGTCCTTTCTTTTAGTCATGGATCTGCGCTCTCATGGATCTTGGTTTTCATTCCTATTTCGGGTCGGGCTGGCCAGATTCCTTTCCACTTTTTTTCCTCCTTCTCAGATCTACACTTACCTGGGCGGATGGGAGGGGATGACAACCCCATCCTTTGTGATGTGCCCTGCTCACATTCAGCAGGTATATATAAGCGTACAGCAGGCGTATTGGCGTTTTATCATACACCGAGGAACGAAGAAAGAACAGAGCGTCAGAGGGCGTTGAGAAAGCCCTGTTTTGGGCAGTTATAGAAATGCCGAATTCAATAGAATCATTAGTATACCATTTACGTTGTCTCATTCTTCATGGGATTTGGTATTTGGGGTTCGGCAATGTACTGCATGGGCGCAGTGAAGTGTGGTGACGCTGGCCGTTGAATGATGTCGCAACCACCGGCATAGCGGGCCGCTCCACTTTCCTCCGAGAGACCCTGCACATTACCTTACCGGTACCGTACTTCTACACCTCCCATCATCAGTCCGCCACCGTGACACACAACGCCTACTTACTCTACACTGACAGACACACCACTCTACAATGACGCAAGCTCAATCACCACCAATACCAGCCCCGCCTCCAGATCTAAGCACCAAGCTTCCCAAACTCGTCCCCCGGAAACGTGCCCCCACAAACCGCGAACCGCCATCTGCCCCTCCCCCACCCACACCCGCGCTGGTCCCGCCGCGCAATCTCGATGGCCATGTGTACGCGCGCCCAAGTCGCAGAATCCTGAGTCCCGAGGACCACGCGCTGTTTCTGGAGAGTGAGACGTGCACGCTTGTGAAGGCCTTCATCTTCAACATGGCAGACAGCGTGCGCGACAGGCCGATATCCAGTATCCGCGACGCCGAAATCACAGACACAATCGGCAAGATCGTACGCATACTGCAGGAAGCGGAGAAAGCGCTCGACAGGTGCCCACCAGAGGACACGGGCTCACGGTTTGGAAACCCCGTCTTCCGCACCTTTGTCGACGAAATCGAGACGCAGTTGCCGTCCTGGCACGCCCAACTCGGGCTCACGCAAGCTGAGCAAGTCGAGGAGGTGTCCACCTACCTGCTCCACTCGCTGGGCAACAAACGCCGGATCGACTATGGCTCTGGCCATGAACTCAACTTCTTCCTCTGGCTCCTCTGTCTCAACCGGCTCTCCCTCCTCCCACCCCCGACCTTCCCCGCCCTCGCCCTCGTCGTCCTCCCAGCCTACCTCCACCTCATGCGCCGCGTCCAGGCAGCCTACTACCTCGAACCCGCCGGCAGCCACGGCGTCTGGGGCCTGGACGACTACCAATTCCTCCCCTTTTTATTCGGCGCCGCCCAGCTCCTACACCACCCCTACATCACGCCCAAGAGCATCCACAACGCCCTCGTGCTCGAGGAGGAGGCCGGCAACTTCCTCTACCTCGACCAAATCGCATTTGTCAACAGCGTCAAGAATGTCGATGGCCTGCGCTGGCACTCGCCCATGCTCGACGACATCTCCTCGGCCAAGAATTGGGCCAAGATCGAGGCCGGCATGCGCAAAATGTTTTGCAAGGAAATCCTCGAGAAATTGCCCGTCATGCAACATTTCCTCTTTGGCAGTCTTGTCCCCGCGGCGCCCGGTATGCGCACCCTGGAGCAGGCGCAGGCCGAGGGTGAGGCCGAGGATGGCGACGAGCAGCCCGAGGACGCAGTGGTCGAGGTGTTTGATGATGACGCAGGTAAACGCCATGTGCATGCTGCTGTTGGCTGGGGCGATTGCTGTGGCATTCGTGTGCCGGCTGCGGTTGGGGCCGAGGGGGAGGCGAGAAAAGGGGGGGCGAGGGGGTTGAGGAGGGTGCCGTTTGATTGATTGATTGATTGATTTGTTCATTTATTCATTCATTCGCTCATTGGAAGTGGGAATGTGCTGTAGACGATTACGCTTTTTTTCTTCTTTTTTCTTTTTGGCATTTTCAAGGCGTTTCGGATGGGATCGAATGGGATGGAGGGAACAGGGTACAGATGGCGTAGGTTTACAGATTTGACTAGAGTAGCCAACGATGTTGGAGATTGACAACGAATCAGTCTCCTATTTATTCTTCTGTAGATTTCAATCATTCGCTCATGCAGCACGCAATCCATGGTATCATTCTACCACTCATTCGCGCAGCACGCAAGCCATGATATCATTCATTCATTCACACAGTACGCAAGCCATGGTATCTATCAACCGCTATCCCTCACCAACTACACCACCCCTCCTTCACGCCTTGAGCGCCTCCTCAATCTCCTTCTTCAGATCCTCGGGCTTCTTCGTACTCGCCCACCTGCCGCGCACCTTGCCATCCTTGCCGACGAGAAACTTTTCAAAGTTCCACTTGACGCGCTTCAGGCCCATCAGGCCCGGCTTCTCGTTCTTGAGCCATTCAAAGACGGGGTCGGCTTTGTCGCCGTTGACCTGGGAGGATTTTGCGTTAGACACGGAGAGGTGAAAGGGGATAAAAGGAGTGAGGAATAGAAAAAAAAGGAGAGGAAAAGACTTACATCCACTTTGCCCAGCACGGGAAAACTAACGCCGTAGTTTACCTGGCAAAACTCTTGAATCTCGTCATTTGACCCGGGATCCTGGCCGCCAAACTGGTTGCAGGGGAAGCCGAGGATTTCAAAGTTTTCGCCCTGGGGCGTGGCCTTGATGTCCTTGTAGAGCTTCTCGAGGCCGGCGAATTGCGGGGTGAAGCCGCATTTCGAGGCTGTGTTGACGACGAGGACGACTTTGCCGTGCAGTTGAGAGAGGTCGTAGGGTTGGGCGCGCTCTATTTTGGGGGAAGTTGGTTAGTTGGTTTGGTTGGTGGAGGGCTGGTTGGGGTTGGGATGAAGGGGAGGAGGTGAGAGGGAAGGAGGGGGGCGTGAGACAACTCAGTACAGACTGTTCCGTACTGCGCAGGGCGGGTGGTAAATGCTAGATAGGATATGAAAATAGGATAGAGAAGTGTAGAAAAAAGCATACTATCCAAAGGCTTGAAGTCGAAAAAACTAGTCGCAGAAGCCATGGTCGCAAACTCTCGTGCAGTCGTCGTTGTGGGGAAAGGCGATGGAGGGGTTCGAAGTCGTATACTGAATAGCGACGCAGGCACAACCGTCGTTGTGACAGTAGTGGATGGTGTGGAATAGAACCTTTGCTGTGGAAGCGTTGGTGCAGTAGTAACAGTAGTGGTAGCAGTGGTCGTGGCTGTAGCTGTCGCAGTAGCTGTCACAGTCGTCGTAGCAGTCGTCGTAGCGCCACCAAAGCTCCCTGCCCTCCACAGCGGGGCCCTCGCCCTCCCTACCCTCGCCACAGCCGCGCGCACCATGACACGTGACAGGGCAAAGAAAAACAAAGAAGGAAAAGAAGCAGGGAGAAGAAAACAGCACACCTCGGCAGGACTCTCGTGCGCGTGCTTACAAGCTGCTGGGAGATCGGGTTTCTTGTTTCTTTGGTTCCACTCACACACACCCAGCACCCTCTCTCTCTCTCTCTCTCTCTCTCTCTCTCTCTCTCTCTTGCTTTCTCTCCTTCTCTTTTCGTAGGCCGTCGAAAACACAAATCCTGGCACGCAAACGCGACGATACACACTGCAGACGCAATGGGTAGTGTATTGCGTGTACAGTGCTGTGCAACAGACGTCTACCCATCCCATCCCGTCCCCATCTAGTAAAGCTTCGGTCGGTCGGGGCTCCGGTGCTGCCTTCCCTGCTTGGCGACGGTGCGGGGGAACAGGCGGCAGGAGATGATGTAGCTGGCTGTTTTGGGACTAGATTGGGCAGCGATGGCTGCGTATTCAATACTGTCCCGCCATGTATCTCCCTGTTGTATGCATGAACATGTGACGAGCTATCTTGATTACGTACTGTAGACAGGGCGCCAGGCATGCATGGATCATGGGAGGACCGGGTGGCTATACAATCACCAGGGAGGGAGGGGAATGGGCATGAGGGATGGGTCTTTTCTTTTGAAAATTGAATAGTGGGATCGTGAGTGTGTTGGTTGGTACTACTACTATAATGGTAGGGTGGGGGACAGTCTGGGAGCAAACATCTCTAGGAGCCTGGCATCATCAGTCAACCAACACCACCTATGACCACGAAGATTGTCAAGAAACAGCCAAAACAAACAACAGCCTTGCCAAAAAAAACTATGTACAATCAAAACCACGCCTACATGCTCTGCCGCATCTTCGCGCACAGCTTCTCCTTCTCCCCTTCGTACTGACTTTTTCACTACATTACACCCCTTTCTTTCTTCCTTCCTCTACAAATGAAATCCAGCAACAAAGTTAACAATCTAATCAATTGCATACATCAACACTCCCACACTCATGCCAAATACTATTGCAATGAGTGGGACAGCAGTCCACCTTGCCCCACAACGGGGGGGTTTTGGCTGTCGCACCGGGCGAACAAGCAATCCATCCTCCGGAAGTCCTGGCCTACGGCTGAGGCATGTCCTGTGGAAATGTCCTGGCTTTATTCCATGGGGTAACAACATCCATCCGGCATCTGGGCATTTCACGGTCCTTCCTCCGCTGGGCGCGGGAGTCCATCTGGGCAAGGCTGGCCATGCAAAAAGCAAACGCTGGGATCCATAGTGGAACTTGTCGTGTAGACACGGTCGTGTCACAAACCTTTAATAGTCAAGAATATCATCACAGACGGAGTCTGTTATGCACTCTTCATTCATCCGCCGTAGCTCTCGCGGTACTGAGTACCAATGTCGTGCAGACCAACAACCTCCTTGGTCAGCTGGATGTCGTCACCAAGGTCGCTAGGGTTGCTGAGGCCACTAAGAATGTCGATAATGTGCTGCTTCTTGCTCAAGAACTCCTTCAGAAGCTTATCGCGCTGTTGTTGCCGGAGCTGTTCTGCAGAGATCTTGACGACCTTCTGGCGCCTCTCCGTCACATCTTCAGCAGACACCTTGCGCTTGCGGCTAACAGGCTTGCGCTGCGATGGCCCCTGTACTGGTGGTGACGGCTCAGTAGTGGGTCCGTCGTATTGGTGAACACGCTTCATGTGGTCAAAAAGATTGTAGCGGCGAGGAAACCCATGGCCAGGTACCGCTCGCTCGCAATCCCTGAAGTGACAGAGATGGGGCCTAGCGCCATGACCGTGCATGCCGTGAGCCTCACGTTCATGACGCAGGAGGCATGCAGTCGACGAAAACTGCACTCCAACGCAAGTCTTCTTGTTGCAACGAAAGGGCTTCAAATGCGAATCGACGTACTTGCTAAAGGATATTAGATAATTGGAGAACACGGCAAAATAATCCAAGCTTACTCATAGTTGCACTTGAGAGGTGTGGGCTTGTGGCTGCAGCACAGCGTTGCCTTCCTCAGGGCAGTGGTATTTGCCATCCTTGTCAGGCAACTGCTGGTAGAGGGGGTGGCTACGAGCGACCTTGGTGCGCTCCTCCTCTAACTTAGTCTCGGCAGTCTCAGATTGGGAGAGGACTTCTTCCTCGTCATCCATAGCTTGTGTGCGCACAGGAGCACTGTTCATGTCATCGGTGTCGTTCCTAAGCAATATCAGTATTCAATCTCGAAAATTAGCGGTCATGAACTACCTTGGGCCAATGAAGCGTGGCTGGTCATAGTCTACGCTTTGGGGGAAGTGGACACTGGATGTGCTGGTAGGAGTTGCGACAAATGCACCGAAGTTGTCGTGTGCAGATGCTTTTCGCGACTCATCCTTGACAGTGTACGACGAACTGCGTGCAGCGGAGGGGCACTCTGTAGCATCGTAGGACGTGCTGCCCCATTGTTGAGAGGCTGAGAACATCATGTCATTGGAGTTTTGGTTTTCGGGGAAGTTTGTGAAAGAGAAAGGGTGGCTATGAAACTGGCCATCGGACGCGGTCCACTGGGGCGGGAGATTTACAGCCGTCGATGAGGTGAATCGCGGCATGCTCGCAGTGGAGTATTGTGTGTAGTCCTGCCCAGTAGAATAGTTAGCATAGGCGAGAGAGCCCTCTGTAGCCTCCCAGGTTCCAGTTGTGGCAGAGTGTGGCAGTTGGCTCAAGTCCAGGGCTTGCTCCGGAAATGCAGGGTAGTTGTCGGAGCTCATTGAGGGTGAGTATATGTCACTCCCACCGAATTGTGTGCTGATGTGCCTACGGTTCTCCTGGAGCTGTCCGTCTGGCTTGCTGGTGGTATGCCGGCTGGCGCTGCTCTGGCTTTGGTATGCGCTGTCCATGCTGCACTCAGAGACAGTGTCCTTTGGATCGAACAAGTCCACTGTGTGCATGTCCTGGAAATCAGAGAAAGGAAAGTCCTGTACGGATACCACAGGGGTGGGGATATCTTTTCTCCACTCTGTGATGTTTGAAATGAAGAACGCAGGCTCCGGAGGAGAGTCGAAGAAAGAGTCGCTAAACACCAAAGGTTAGTGCCAAAACAAACCAAACCTCGCACAACAGATGAAGAAACATGAAAAAGAAACGCCATGTTAGTAATGCCAGTGCCAACGGTTCCTGTCAACATGTGTTAGCAATTTTGTTGCTGATGCTCAGACTCGTGAGATTCGGGAACGCACCTGGAGCCAGATGTGAAGTAGAACTGATCGAGACTTTTGCACCGATGTTATCTACTGAAGGGATCCCAGACTGAGTCATGGCGATGGGAGGAAGCATTGGGAAGGCCATGTGTTTAGTAGATCCGTGGAGCATCCAGTGAGTCTGTCTGGTGGAACATGACCAGAAAAACAAGAGAAAACACAGTGCAAGACTGGGATTTTCAAACTCCTTCAATTACCACACATCAAGTTAGTATCTCGATCAATGTGATCAGGATAGGCGGTTCGCCTATTGTACGTACTTCGTAACCAAAACTCCAAATGCAGCTAGCGCTGCTTGCCATGGTCGGTATCCTGGATGTCCAGTGAAGGAATTCAGAAAATCCTAGTGGGTCGCAAATGGCATCTAATGGTGTGGAAGTTACGAGAACGGTTCCAGGGGAACAAGGTGTAAAGCCAACGCATGGATTGCGAACATTGATACTACCAGTGGTGTCGCATTTGGCGAAGTTGAACAAAAACATTATTGAACAACCTTGCCAGATATTGTCTACGTTGTCCTTGTGGTCATGCAGGTGAGCATACCATGGGTCCTTGGTAATCCTGAGCGGAGGATGCTCACACGACTAGTAGGGATCGAATCGCGCATTCAACACACTTGATCGAGAGCTCAATGTTAGAAGCTCCGACATTGAAGCAACGAGACGCCGGTTTGTCGATTCTACAGACACCGCAAGGGCAGTGAGGCCAGCAGTCGAGCCCCAGAGGTGGGGGTTCCAAAAGTTCCACAGTAGGTTTCCAGAGAACAGAGGGACAGAGGAGTGTGGCCTGTGGGGAGTGTCCTGGTTCTTTGGGCAAATGTTTTGGTCTCATTTTGGTTCTCTCCATTGGGCATCCATTTTGGCTTTGGTCTGCTGTGATGGCGGCAAATGTAGAAAGAAACACAAAAACACAAAGGAAAGAGATACAACAGATCTACAGACAAACTCAAGAAACGCAAAAAAGTAAACGAGCAAAACACTTTGGGGGTAAACCGTTGGGCAGTAAGTACCTAGATAGGGCTCCGTCTGGGCTCCGAATTGTCATCCTGAGCAAGGGCTCTTTGATAGTGTGGTTGAGTAGTGTGTTGATGAAATTCTAGCCGTTTGTGCAAGAATTGGTCGTGAGAAGAGCGATGTTTGCGATGGTGTGAATCGTCTTGTGTTTGTGTGGTGTTGTGTATTTAGGTGTAGGGGAGAGAGAGGGAGGAGAAGAAGAAGAAGAAGAAGAAGAAGAGAGCAAGAGATGAGGTTTGGGGGGGGCGGGGGGAAAGAAGGAGGAGGAAGTGTGTGGTGGGCGGGCAAGAAGGTGTGGTGGCCAGTTGGTGGTCGGTGGCTTAGTAGGGCAGGTGTGAGTGACAACGCATAGCCAAAGGTGGGGCCATAATCCACGAGTAAGATTTGGTTGCAGTCCTTCCTTCGGCGGTACTTGTTGTACCCAAAAAAACCAGTTGGCTCAAGAAAACCTCTTCGCACATGGGCACCGCTGCGCTCTTATCCACCCTTCGCCAGCCCACTAACGACTGGGTTGCAGGGCCTGATTTGCGATTCATCCTGGCCACCGGCCGCACGGCTTGTGAAGGACTGCGTTTCGCTCGGCGGATTTGATCGTCGCTCACAGGATGCCGTGCAAATCTAAAATGAATTGCCCACCAGGGTTTCGCCGGATGAACAAGTCGAGCAGTGATCCTCGCTGTCATCCACCAACCGGACAGCGGCTCGACGGTGCCGCCAAACTTGCCGCACGTCGCACTCCTGGCAGCCAAGCTCCACCATCCTGACAATTGCTTTTCGTCGGCGCTTCTGATCTGCACGCAAAGAGCACATCACGGCCTTGCTTGCAGCTGCTCGACTCGTCGTGGGCGACAATGAGCGTGACTGTGACTTCAGGACCGAACCGCGCCCGCACCGTCAGCACGTAATCGCGGTTGATTACCTACTACAATCGAATCGACGTCAATCGGCATCAATCGACACCGTAATCTACAATGCAGTGTGCCCATGGGATCGAGCATCCAGCATCGGCTCCTTCAGCCCGCGTTCCCTAGCCTACCGTCCACGTTGTCGTTGACAAACTTTATGATACTACAGTGGCCAGTCCAATATTCTCGCAGAATCTCTACTACCTGTAGCAAAGTGCATGCAACAACGACAACAGCCATCACGTGCCCGTGAGCGCTGCCGGTAGGGCTACAGATTGACAGCGCCAGCATTGCACACGACATGCACCTGCCTACATCACAGTGTTACAGGTTTACATTGCCACCACATTGGACGTCTTTCGTGGCACAAGATCGTGTTGAGCTACTGAGTACAGTAGTCTGCTCAGGGTGGACGTCCATTGAACAATTGCATTGTTCTCCCGTACCAACCACACAACCCTTGGAACAAAACCACCGTTCAAACCCTAATTTACTCGGTTAGAGACTGCTCACACGGCAACAAACGGATACGAGCGAAAGTGTGGGAATAAGAGTCAGATAGGAGCGAAAGACAATGCTGATTCGTTCCTCAATGCCCGAAGGCTAGGATGAACTATGCTTTGAAATTTGTGGTATCATCATGCAAGAGGTGGGAGGCAGTACGAGCTGCGAGTGCAAAGGGGGGAATGCAACGTACCTGCTTTAGGCATAGGCCTGTGCCTGTGGATGGCTTTTGACAGCCATACGTAGCCACGACATAAATGTCGCAGTTGCGGTAAATGTCGAGGCAGTGCCAAAGAGGCGCAAAGCGGTCCGTAGCTTGCACCACCGGGCCAGCGCTAAGCCTTGTGCCGTCGACCAAGCAGGAGGGCTTGCGACAGCTGTTGCTCAGGTCCTGCTGGATATTCGAATCTTGAAACTCTAGAGATCTGCATCAGCTGCCTCCCAATCTCTCTGCGACGCGAGCACATGCTGCTGCAGAGCAGGAGGGAGCCTAAAACTCAAAAGCGACGGTCATGTCGCAGCTGCTTTCTGATTGTTAGAGTACCTATCTCTCGACCACTGTCCAGATCGGAACCGTCAAAAGATCATCACGGTCAAGTTTTGGCGACCTGTAGAGGACAGGAGGTGGAAGACCAAGAAGAAAACTGAGCTTCAGGTTTCGCGTAACAACTTCGGAAGTCGGCTGGGCGGCTTAGTCATCGCTGCCACTGACGTCACACCGTCCCTTCCTGATCCCGGCGGCTATCATCCAGAAATCTGGTACGATACGACTTGACACGAATAAGCAATCCGGAGGCTCTCCGATATGACGCCGACTGGATCTCAGGATGCTCTTTCTCTCTTCGTGGTTTTCGTATTGTATCTCTTGCAACTCTGCGTTCCGATATGCAATATAAGAAGCAAATACGTGAACTCGACATCTTCGGGATGAGATCAGCCCCCGATGGCAAAGTCCAAGCAGACTGAAACGACGAACGCAAGCCTCTTAACCCAGAGGCCCCACAGCCAAACTCAGGGTCCATCTGTGGCGCTTTTCTCCAGGTTGCGACGGACATGAACTCTCCGGATCACAGAAGTACACATTACACGACTCCATGAATTGCTAGCGCGATCGAGTGAGTTTTCATAGGCACGTACGGTAGGCCGTGCGGATTTCGTTGTACTATGCTATCTACTACTGCGTCCCTGCACATCGATTCGCGTCCCTGCCATAGTTTGGCGAATCATATGGTCATTTTCGGATTCATTTCCAAGTTTGACTGGTCGAATCCAGTCCAGGATGCCAACCGAACTGCAATGGTGCTGTATTTACTGTCTCATGTCTATCAGATCTAGAGTCAAAGTCAGAGAACCCTGCCAAAACCCTATTTGAAGGTAACTGGTACTGTCCTCAGGTCCTCGATTGTCGACAGGAATCGTGACTGCTTGCGGACCACTTATCGGCGGTGCACTGGTAGCTGAGGCGTTCAGACCATGTATTATACCGGTTATAGCTATTGGCTGGATGTCGTGTTCTACCAATCAGTCACCAGTTCATAGCTGCCGTAAGCAGCACGATGTTACGGCTTTCCCATTTCCGTCTTTTTTACAGTTTCTCAGGGTCCAAGAAGTACAACCGAAATGCGGGGGAGCCTCTCTGATTGGCTTGATCACATATGGTTTGCGTAACTGATATGGTAGGCGCGATCGTACTTTGGGATGACGGCTGTGACCTGATGAGGGGTTTATGAAGGCTTCAAGTCCTGCCTGAGGAGCGTTGTAGTCAAGTTCTCGAGCATTCACACCATCGAATTCAACTCAATCTCTCATCCACACAACCAAAACTTTTTCCTCCGAAAACAAATGCCTTCTCCGTTTCACCAGAAGTACTCCACGCAGAGCCACAAGGTCTTCGGCGACAACACTGTGCCTGCCATGCCTGAGGGACCTAAGCAAGATACTGATCGACGTGCGTCTGACTCGTCGATCTCGTCGCAGGGCTATGATTACACACGGAGGAGGGTATGTTGGAATCCTGTAGCCTGTGACGGGGTGCCCACTGTCATCATGTGTTCTGACCATTGATAGTCCTCCACCGCACAACGCTTTGCCAATCTTGAGGCACTGAAGCGTCCACAAGATGAGCGGAGCGCAGCCAGGAGACAATCGCTTCATGATTCGTACGGCAAAGTCGGATTTATTGGTAGTTTGTGGAACAAGTATGTGTGCACTGTGATGGCGTTGCAATGCATTTGGCTGACTGAGCCTAGCTTCACTCGTGGCCCTCCCCTGCCTGCCAGCCAGACGAAAAAGCCTGAGGAGGCCCGGGACATTAGCACTTTGAGAAATTAACTAGATGCTGCTCTTCAACTGCATTTCCTTTCATGTCGCTTCAAAGGAGATGTACGTCAGCCTATGCTCTCGGATGCAATCAGATTGAGTGAGAAGTCACCGAGACATCTGGCATTCAAGATTGTTTTATATATTAAGCGGAGGCTGGATCCTGAAAGGCTGGTCATTGGTTCTTTAGTTATAAATTGAGCAATGTAATCATCACGATGGATACATTGATCGTGCCACGTCCTACTCTTTCTGAAGTCGTGTGATGTTCGCCCTTCTGTGTAGGGGAGACATGTGATTGGCTGGCCCGAACGGTGACGTTGCTTGTCTGGACCTGCTCCAAAGAGCCTCGACATTCGACTCACCCAAGATTGAATGTACAAGTAACAACGTCTCACAGAGTCGCAATCCGTGAATGAATTGCATTACACGCGCGCGTATCTTTACAAAACGCTAAAACTTCTCTATCAAGATCTGCGCATACGTGTTTCTCCCTCACCGCCGACACTACCTACTTCACAATGGCGACACGCGCACGTTCGCCGAGAGGATTTCCTGATTCTACTTCGATAAACCTAAATAGGCTGCTTTCGAGGTTAGAGAATATAGTGCTAGCGGAGCCATCGCCTCAACTGCGAAAGTCGAGCTACGAACGGGCGCGAGTGAGTGCTGTAAGTCTGTCCTCTAGATCGATTACTTCCCTGAAGATGAACGTCTGCCTTATGAACGTCTGCCTTAAGCATGTCGCGTTGACTAACCCATGTATTAGAACATCGAACACGCGCGCACACTGCTCCTCAACCTCGAACACTCTGCCTCCTCGATACCCTCCAAATCCAAAAAGACCGCAATCCAGACGGACTTACAGCAAAAGCGTGAGCTCATCAAGCAGCTTAATCAGCGGATATATGAGCTCAATCAGCTTGATGATACAGAGTCTGAAGCATCTGTGCAATCAGACGAAGACGAAGACCAATTTCCGTCCTATGCACCTCGGGTGAAGGTAGATGCCGGAAGAGATGTCACCTCGTCAGAAGGACAACGCAATGAGGCACTTCACAACGCAGCGCAAAATCTTGCATCAGAACTGAGGCGGCGGGGTAAAGCGGACGATAGCGAAGGAGCACAGGCGGCATCGGGAAACTCGTTATTTCCTTCGAAGCCTACCACAACGACCGGCGATGTTGATCGAGCAAATACTGACGCTTTACTGTCGCATGACCGCGGCGAACAAGAGACACTCACAGCAAGCCTTTTGGATATGGCAAGGCAACTCAAGCAACAGTCGATACAATTTGGTAGCACATTGGAGGGGGACAAAGGCATACTTGATCGAGCACTATCTGGGCTGGACAAGAACACTATCAATATGGATGCTGCAAGTAAGCGTATGGGCACTCTGCGACGGATGACAGAGGGCAAGGGCTGGTGGGATCGCGTAAAGCTCTATGGTATGATTGCAGGGCTCTGGCTGATCGCCTTTCTGATCGTCTTCGTGGGTCCCAAAATTCGCTTCTAGCATGTCGTCTTTGCCTTGCGCGAGCAATAGCTGGATTTGTGTAGACAAATGTTTGGTTGCAAGACACACCGCCAAAGTCAATGCACAGCTAGATACCCACATCAATCAGAAGATTACACCGCCACATCAATCAGTATGGCGCAGCACATTGCATTCCGGCCCACGTGGTACTACTTTTCACGTGTCCGGCTGAACTTGCGCGCAGGCATTCGAGCTCGATTCAGATGTCCATAGCCCGAAATCTGGAGATTAGCGCGATCTTGTAGTGTCACCGAGGCCGTTGTCATTATATTTAGCTACCCGCATAGCGACAACAAAGCGACAACACTTACGTCTCTCATTTTTATCTATATAACCCCTGTTGGTGTCGCGACAAGATGGCCGCCATGGAAATGTTCTCATTGGGTTCTCGCTGTACGTCATTATTGCCTTGTGCCGCATCAATCGCTCGGCGCGTTCCCTTATACCTACATGAGAGCTCTGCGCAAGCTTCTCAAGACTGGACGTTGACCATGCACAGCACTTAACCACTCCTCCACTGATACAGAAGCCGAATACGACCGTCTGCGCGGCCTCGCACGCGCCGAAGCCAGTAAACGGTCATCATGCTTTGATCGCGCGCATGAGGCCTATTCTTCGGGCGACGGCGCACGCGCCCACGAGCTTTCTGAAGAAGGCAAGCAACACGCCGCAAAGATGGAGCAATACAACCGCCAAGCGCGCGACTATATTTTCCGTGCGAACAACGCAGAGGGCCGGGTTGCCGGTGACACGATCGATCTGCACGGTCTCTACGTCGAGGAAGCAGAAGATGTGCTTGAAGAGCGTATCCGCGCTGCGCGACAACGTGGAGAAACGCATTTACACGTCATTGTCGGCAAAGGGAACCACTCAACCGGGCACGTGCAGAAGATCAAACCGCGCGTAGAGCAGGTATGCCAGGAGCTGGGCTTGCAATACAAGACCGAGGCCAATGAGGGCAGAATCTACGTCGACCTGCAGGGTGGAAATGTGGACCATATGCCACCTCCGCCACAGGCACCGAGTTATGGTGGGTATCCTGGGCAGCATGGCGGTGGACAACAGCATGGAGGTCAGCAACAGCATGGTGGGCACCAACAGAACAATAACCAGAATGATGAGTTGGAGCAGTTGGCTAAGAAGGGGCTGTCGAGACTGTTTAACACGTCAATATTAAAATGGGGGATATCAGG